TTACCTAGCAGTAAAATAGGTACCTGGGTGTTAGTCAGCTGTCACGGGCTGCTTCCTGGGGGTGGAGGCCTGGTCGAGGACCGGGCCGCGGGGACACTAAAAAAGCCCCGAAATCATCTCAAGATAACCTCAAGATAACACATCGCTCTATCATATTCCTAGTCAGAATGAAGAATTCATAATAAATGGTGGTGTCAGTGGTGAGGGGGATGTATTGGGGGGGTGAGTGGAGACTTGTCCACCCACCAGTTATGGCGTCTGTTGACTCCGCACAACGTGGCTGCCTCAATACTATACTCACTTGATGCTTTTCACAAAATTAGGAGAGAAAATTTTACCATTTTAGTGGTTTGTAGCACATCGCTCTATCACATTCCTTAGTCAAAATGAAGAATGCATCATAAATGGGTGTGTCAGTGGTGAGAGGGGTTAGGAAGTCAGCTAGCCTCTGTTTTTTCTGGGCGTGTTGAATGAGACGCCTCCAAGTCTGGCCTTCTCCCCGCTGCTGCCTCAATACACCCCATGCTAAACTCGAGAATATTTTACAATTTTAGTTGCTTGTAACACTGCTTTATTATATTATGTAGTCAAAATGAAGAATTCATAATAAATGGTGGTGTCAGTACTCGCTTAGTTGTACTCACCTACATTTGAAACTGTGTATGGAGTCAGCCTCCACCACAACACTACTTAATGCATTCCATTTGTTAACTACCCTGACACTGAAAAAATTCTTTCTAGCGTCTCTATGGCTCATCTGGGTACTAAGTTTCCACCTGTATCCTCTTGTTCGTGTTCCACCCGTGCTAAAAACTTTGTCTTTGTCCACCCTGTCAATTTCCCTGAGAATTTTGTAGGTGGTTAACATGTCTCCCCTTACTCTTCTGTTTTCCAGGGTTGTGAGGTTCAGCTCCCTTAGCCTTTCCTCGTAGCTCATTCCTCTTAGTTCCGGGACCAGTCTGGTGGCATACCTCTGAATCTTCTCTAACTTCGTCTTGTGTTTAACCCCTTAACTGCGTTGCCTCCAAATGTGACACCCCCGCAGTGCGCAGGAAATAAATTCTCTGGAAAAAATTATTTTTTCTTTTTAAAGTGTCAAAAACCCTTCCCTCAGTATGGGTATGTAAAAAAAAAAGTCGAAATTGTACTTACTTTGGCTGCTATGGGGTCCGGAAGTTGGGGCGTGACGTCATCATTCCCCGTGCGCCCGTGCCGTAAGCTCTCGGGGGCGGTGGGGCGCTCGGGGCGGGGTGCGCGAGTTGCCGCGAATATATTTTCGTTCATTTTTTGCGCACCTTTCCAAATACATTTTCATTGTTTTTATGTGCCAATCCAATGTATAATGAACACGTACACTATAATATCGCAGTACAACATCCGTACTGTCCGTAGACACTGTGTTACGTGCATGAAACTTGTGCGCACATATGCAGCACATATTTACTATGTATCATGCTAATTTGTGTATATATACAATCTATTTACACACTATACACTGTCACACACTATATACATTCACCATCAACACATTCAGAACACCGCGTAGCAGCTGTTTCATATGGGCCAATAGCAGCTGCCTCGTATGGGCCAATATCAGCTGCCTCGTATGGGCCAACAGCAGCTGCCCCGTATGGGCCAACAGCAGCTGCCTCGTATGGGCCAATAGCAGCTGCCTCGTATGGGCCAAATAGCAGCTGCCGCGTATGGGCCAAATAGCAGCTGCCTTGTATGGGTCAATAGCAGCTGCCTTGTATGGGCCAATAGCAGCTGCCTCGTATGGGCCAATAGCAGCTGCCTCGTATGGGCCAATAGCAGCTGCCTCGTATGGGCCAATAGGAGCATTTGACCATGAACACATTCAGAACACCTCGAGTGAGAGCAGCCACACCCAGCCAGTCTCCCTCACTCCAACATCTTACTCGCCAACATTGTTCCTCCCACCATATTATTATAGTTCTTATTACACATGTTCTATATACCTATCTACATGTTTTATTTACCAGAACTATGCAAGTAAGCCGGTATTGTGTCCAAACAGTACAGTGGCCACCATACACTGCATGACAAATCACACAGCAGACGACGCTACGATTACGTCACCTCCCTCACCGAAATAGCTCCTCTCAACATTCTCCTGTTGCTGTTCTTACACTATATACACACACTATATATACCCATGTACATATGTGTTGCCCATAGCGAACCAATAAGCTAGTATGGTGAGCAAAACAAGAGTGGCAGCCACACACACACAATGAGGCTACCTCAATTCTCGCCCTCCCTCATCAAAATTCCTCCTTCCACAATACTACGCACAACGCTAATTATAACCACAATCCTGCTATTATCACAATCCTGGTCACTAATTCCTGTAAATGAATAATTGACCACACGTTTATTTTGAAAAGGAACCTTAGAAATCATTTGAAGATTCCTAGATGAACGAAATAATGCTGTGGTGCTGTGGCTAGCGCTGTGAACATCGTGAACAGCATTGAATCACTGATATTTGAACATTGTACCCAGTCATTATCACACTCAGGCTCTAATATAACACTATCATAGCTAAATAATACAAGTTATATATATATTTTGGCATTATTAGGCGATGCTGTGGTCACATGCTGAACAGCAGTGCTGTGCGCTCATGCTGCGAGCGCCAGCCTTGGTTGCTCACACACTACTGAGGCTCCCACACCCGGGAATGTGGACCACGATTTTTTTTAAAGATGGCGTCTGTTTACAAGAGCCCTGAGGAAGCTGATGTGAACCCCATGTAGCCGCGGGAGTTTTGAATGGAACGTGAAAAATACAAATACCCGGAGGCGCGTTGCGCAAACCAGACGTGAGCCTGCAGGCGCGTTGCGCAGTTTAAGGGTTAACTAGGTATGGGCCTGTGGTGGGGGGATGGTATGAAGAGAAGTTTGGTGGTGGTGGGGGAAGGTGTCAGAGACGTGACTGATGATGAAGAGCTGGCAGATTATTATCGACACCTACAGGGCATGAAAGATATTATAATAAAACAGCGCACAACGAAGAAACAAACCAAAATTCTAAAGTTTTTGGTACGGTTTCACAGTAGGCCTACAGGACCAGCACCCAGCACTAGCAAGGACGCCCTTTGGGAGTCAGGTGCAATTTTTCCTAATGCAAATGTGTCCTGGCAAATGTATAATTTTTTTTTTTTTTTTAAGAAGGTTGTTAGGGCCGGACGAATGGAACGAATTCCGCACTGGAATGAATCGGCTTCGCCCTATATAGTTCGTTCAAGTGAGGACACACCGTATGTGGTGCGCTTCTCCGACTGCGAGGCCGTTACAGTGGACGTTTATCTGCAGAAATGATCGAGGTGGGGTTACCTGTCCCTCTTCCTCCCAGTCCAGCTGTTGCTTCGAGTCCTGGCTCAGTTGGAGACTTACCAGGGAAGAGTAGTCCTGTTGGCCCATTGGTTGCCAGCCCAGCCTTGGTTTTCGGCACTGCTTGCTCGGTGTCCGAACCTGAATTGTTTCTTGCAGCTCCGCCTCTTTCAGAAGATCGGGCTGGTACGGTACATGGCTGTTTCAATCTACTACTCCGCTGTTTGCATCTGGTCTTTTTGATGAGGATATATCACCATCTGTAAGGTGATCAGGCTCTTTTCCTGTTGGCATTAGCCTCTGGGGGTCGGGGAGCTTCACGCTCTCCTCCGGCACAGGGGTTTTTGCTCTTTCGGTCCTGGTAGTAAGTTTGTTCGGTTGCAGCCATCTTCTTTTCTGGCGAAAAATGAGACGGGAGCTTTCCGTAGGGGCACTTGGGTTGTTGATGCTTGGTTGGTCAGGCCAGGAGGGTACCTCATGTTGTATATCTGGAGGCAGCTCTTTGCCGTTGCTTTTGCTCCATGGCCTCTGTGGTCAGGGATGCTCTTTGGGTTGACCAGGTCTCCCTTGTTCCCTGTTCCAGGGTGCGGGTCTCCTAGGTTGTTTTCAGTGTTATTCAGCCTAGTCAGCCTGCGGTCTATCCATGTGCCCATGACATTCATAAGTTTGTTGCTCTGGCTGCTGTCTTTGGTAACGTGTCTTGGGCTGACGTTTAGGAGCAAGGATTTTGGAGGTTGAACAGGGTCCTGGCCGCCTGTTACCTGGTCAACGTTCCTGGCCCTAGTAGGGCGTGTGTCGCTTTAGGTCGCAAGCTGCAGCCAGTTATCTTGACTTCGAGTTGAGGTGCGACTGGTCTCCCGTGAAAGTCCCTCTTTTTCCTTATCTTTAGTTAGGATGCCGTAGGGGCTCCCCACAGAAAACCAGCATTGATTGTAATGAAATGCCATTTTCTGGGTGAGCCCAGGAGACTTCCCGGCACCCTCCCTCCCTCACTCCAGTTGGCGATTTTTCACGTTTCATGATGCTCAGCCTCTGAACTGATAGCTGGAGTGGCCAGAGCCTGGGGGTGAGGGGAGGGGGGTTTGGCTGCTCAGACTATCGACGTGACGGCATTAGTGGCGTGTGCTTGTTTTAGTTTGGGAGTTCTGCCTCCTTGTTTGGCATTTAGGTATTAATTTTTATCATGTGGGGTTTGTTTTGATAAGCCTATCTTTCTGGGTGCCAATCCGGTCGATGGCAGACATGGAATGGTTACCGACACACAGGGGTGTCCAAAGGCCATTGCTTCCCTAGCCTCTCTGAGGGGGCCAGCATCTGGTACGTTGTCCCCAGTAGGCAAAAGAATTCTAATCGACTGATGCCACGGTCTTAATATCAACCTTGTAAGCTCCGGGGAGCCTCCGGGGCTCACCCAGAAAATGGCGTTTCATTACATTCAACCCTGATTTTCTGCACCCTAAGCTCTACTCACTTCTTAAAGAGCTGGATTCTGATCCAGCGTCCTGGTAGGCAAGGGTGTGTGTCAAAGGCTTGGTTCACTTCCCTAAGGCTTAGCTGGACCAGCACTTAAATTGGGGAGCTACTGAGGGCTTCAGCAGCAAAGGGATTTTCATTGCATTTAATGCTTGATATTTTGTCTTGCAGACAAATGGAGTGTGCTCCCTACAACCGCCCAATAGCAAGCCAGGGATACTCTAGTGATGGAGATTCAGAAGAGGAATAATTCTGTGCATTCTGTACAATCTTTCCAAAAACCAGTACTTGTTCATTTCTCTAGATATTGTTGTGGAGGTAGTATTTTTACCCAGGATAAAAAAAAGTACAGTATGCTTTTCTTCCATTTTTGATGCAGTCAGCCCTCTCACCTCTACTACTGCTATGCCTTTGTGATGAAAGTTGAGTGTCCACTAACTAAGCAGAGTGTCTAAACCTGAATCACTTCTAAGGAACCAGTGCAGAAAATTTAGTATTTTAATGAATTAATGGATACAAATTAGCTAGGTTGAGTTATTTTGGATATAAAAATTTGGCACCTCTTTGGTCTAAGTGTATTTACTGTGTGTATAATCACTCAAAATATTTTCCGTTTTCACTTAAAGTTAGAAAATGTGTTTATTCAAAAATGCAGTAGTTTTCATTGAATTATTTGGGCCAAATTATGTTTAGAATTGTAATAGTGTGTTTGAGGAGGGGTGGAGCATTTTTGCTCGGACTACTCATGTTTTGTTATATCTCGCATGCATTGACAAAGCCAAATTATTTATCCTCCTCCTGTTAACATGATCTTGTTACCTGCACCATATCCACACAGTTCTTGATTGATAAAAGGTATATTGTTAATAGCTGTCAAGTGTTTAGTGTCATAGATGTAATGGCTTGCATTACTTTTGTTAAATAACAGGTAACAACTCTTCAGGCAATTTTTGAAGTTAATTCTGTGTAAGGATGGTTTCAAGACTACCAACCAGATTCTGAAAGCACTCTTAACTACTTAGAGTGCTTTCAGAATCATGCATATATACATACACGAGCAATAAATCATTCATTAACATACACCGGCAAGAATTGAAGTAGACTTTAACTGCCAAACTAAAGGAGTGCCAAAGACTTATACTATGAATATAATGCCACACTTGGAAATAAAGTAATTATTTATAATAAATTTTAACAAGCCTGAGTTTCACAATTGATTAATAATTAATTTGCTAGCAATATTTAGGAGTAAAAACATACAAGAAAATAATATTTGTATGTTATTCTTGGTTGCATTTTTTAGTACTTATTTTCCAACTTTTTCCCTAAAGATATTAGAACCAAAAGCCATTGGTGTTAGGTAGACTTGTAGGGAAGCTCAGAAAATATGAGTATTTTATTCTGAAAGATATTCCTGTCGAGAAAAATACTGTTTTAATATTGTTAAAGAAAAAAGAGGACAAGGGTGAGTTAGTTTGCTTGAAAGTACTGGTTGCAAATGTTTTACAATAATAATAAAATGAATAAATTACATAAAGTATGATCGTTTCAGTGTAGATGGTTCACATATTTAGGGAAGGGGCTGCAGGGCCGAGAGTATATACCTAATGACGACAACATGGCTGTTAGGGCAGTGTGGATATCCAATACAAAGTGTTTGCTAAATAAAAGTGAAAATGTTAACCGTCCAGTTACGGAAAGCTTGGTCAAGAATGTTAGGTGATGCATACGGCTTTAAATATGAAGTATTATCATTACTGTAGTATACGCTGTTCATTTATGGACATAGTGGCTGAAAATGAAGCAGTTAAGAACACAATTTCATAACATGCGCTAATGTTGTAGATGTAGCTGCTGCAATCTTATCAGAAAATGTCATATAAAAAGTAGTACAAATGGACTTCTTAATAATGTTAATCAAGCTTATAGACCTGACTGATTAAGATCTTCTCAGAATTCTAACGTATCTTATGGATATGTCAGACGAGTGAAGACACAACACTGGCCAAGTAATTAGGTTGTGGAAAATGTGTGAATTGTTCGTATGCTTAGAAAATACCAGCATACAAAAGGTATGCAGATTCTTTTACAGTCCCATATACTGTGTTTCATATGGCATTTCTATTTGACCATTTGTTAAGTGAATGTCTTACATTTATTATATAAGTACTGTACAGTGTAATGATTGACGTGAAGAAGTAGCCTTAACTGGTAGTGAACAAAATCAGGTGTTGCTGGACAAACCTTAGATAAAATAGATCACATACCTGAGTCTGTAACCAGTGATGGACAGAATTGTCATGACTGTTCTCATTAGACTTGCCCAGAGTTTAGTGACATGTCATGTCAAATTTTTTAATGCCTTCAGTATCTTACTTCCAAGATTATTTTTCGTCATTATAGGAAATGGCAAAATCAAATTGATCTAACGAATTTGCTCTAATTAAATTCTGTTTTGGCAGCTGTTTATAGATTGTGCTATGAGGGGTCTTTCACACTACTTGGCTTGATGGTTTTTCTATTTATACAAAATACTCTGTTGAAAATAAGATACATTTTCTCGTATATTTTCATAGATAAATTGTAAGTTACTTACCATCATTGTTTAAATTCTGATTAAAATTAAGCATTTTAAAAAATTAAAGAGGTCAAATTGACTATGTATTCCACAAGAGTGATCAAGACTGGGTAACTTTGGTTAGAGGAAGCAGTTTGTGTCCACACTCCTGGTAGTCCCTCAAGTTTATAGTGTACGTTCATTATCCTCGGTGTAGTTATACATCATCCATTGAGTCGAGTCATTTCATCATGAACAGAATATTGCTCTTTATTTATTTGGTTGTGAATAGTTTATCAGTATTTTCTGAATCCTGTCCTAGCATTGAGTGGTATGTTGTAGGCAAGCTAATACGATGCATTTAAATGTTCTATATTTAGGAGCACAAACTGATAGCACTTTGCTCTTGCTACACATACAGATATCTTTGAAAACGTTAATGTCTCAAGTTGCCAAAGGAAATTTGACTTAGTGTTTATGGCTACCTAACCCAACTTTTATGTTGTTCTTTTCCGTCCAGTTAGTTACAGTGATTACACGTCTCTGTAATTTATAGTCCCTCAAAATTTTAATTTGAGTCTGTTTGAAATAACTTGTCATTTATTATGTACATATGTATAGTTTACACAAAATATTTTTTCCTTAATTTTCATGATATTTCTGAATAAAGTTTTTATTTTGATCCATATTGCAAATGAAAAATGAAACTAAGCATAATTCTTCATGTAGTATTTCTTTAGTTGTATTTTAGAGTAAGTGAAGCATTAGCAGTGTACGAGAGAGCTAGTGTACAACTTTATAAATCCCACTGATAACCAAACTCTACGTGCTCCTTCAAGTGCATTGTGGTATATATATATATATATTTGTAGCTTTAATTTCTGCATCAATGTTCAAAATTTTGATTACTTAGATTTTTCATCAGTCATTAATGATACAAATTCTTAGTTCTGAGTACAGTATAGTATTGTATTCATACAAAAATTCAATCTTGTAATGTGAGGACATACAGGAGCTGCTTGTGTTAATAAGGGTTGTATTTGCAAGGTAGCACCTTCACATTTCATCATCATTCTCAGCTTCTCCATGGTTACAGTACAAACCAATAACACAGCATGATGAAATTGTAGAACGAAAACCTTTAATGGTATTCAGTAATTCTCGGCATATATACAAACACAAACACGTGAGGTTATTGAATATTTATGGCTGAACGTTCTTGATTTCACCGTGCCCATTTTAGCTGTCAGAACTGTAAAGCTGAATTTTGTAGCTTTGTCAGTGAAGTCCCATAGTGTTAATTTCTGCATGTTTTTAAGCTGCCTGTGCAAATTTTTTAAAGGAGTAGCAATGCATAATTAATAGATGTTTGTAAACTTTCCTGTCTGCTATTTTCTTGACAGGGTAAAGTTCAGATATTAACTGGAGAGTTAAAAGCTTCCAGTTAAGTAGTTATTTTTATTTTGCAAGACTCACTCCAAAGCAGTAGGGTGTCCCTTTGTCACCACCATTACTTGGCTAGAGAAGCTGCATCTGTGTTCAGTCTGTATGTTATCACCAAGTCTTAGAAAGCTAACTCATACAAGTACATCTCCAATGGATTGTTTACCAGAGATTATTGTTATGTATATATAATGAGATTATACAGATTGCTAAAAGTAAATTGAGGTGTTTTAATTTTCTTTTTCTTTATCATGAGGCTCCATAAGAAGTATGAATATTAAACTTTATGTACCACTCATCATTTTATTCAGTTAAGCAAGTTGCTTACTAGAATTTAATGTTTCATCTCACTAGTTTACTATCTTATTTAATTTCCTTTTATAAAATCCCTGACAGGGGGGGGGACAAAGTCATGTCTTCCCTGTAAATCATGTAAGAAAAGGAGTAGACAAAATAACATTTTGTGCTGCCAAGTCTTAGTCAACCACACCAGGCCTATGAAACCCATATTTGAGAACTGGGCTGCTTCTGGCTTACCATACAAGGTGAGGGGAAAACCCACAGAAGGAAAAGGTGCAACAAAAGTAACTGCTTGAAAGAAAGTAGAATCCCCAATGTAAAGAAGGCAATTGATTGGTGCTGCAGGCTAAATATGCTAATTGTGATGTGCTTGACCACCACCAGATTGCAGCCTACATCACCCAGGGCCTTGGCCACCAACCTGCCTCTTCATGTACTTGCCTAGCACTGTTAGCCATGTATATCTCTGACTGGGCCCATCACCTGTTTCAGGCTCTTTGCTAAATGGTTCTGGCTATTCTTGGAATACCCATATAGTAGCTGCCTTGTCACAGTGGTGGGGCTTGAATGCTTTGTTTGAGCTCCTTTTCCTCAGTAGACGGTACCTTCATGCAGTGAGGTTGGTAATCCTTAGCTTTCCTTCGAAGCTCTTCCCTTAGACTCTGTTTTCCCTTCCCAGATGGTGGATGAGGACTCTGGCCGGGGCCCTCTGTTGAGGTTCGGGAGAAGTCAGTTTGGAGCTCTTGGATTCTATTTGACCAGTTTTGGGCCTTTGTGCCCTCTGCATAGGGGTCTGATGTTGCAGGGAGTGGTGTTTTCTTATCCCTCTTTCCTGTATGAGTTTGAGTTAGAAGTGACCCCTCTCCCAGGATGCATTTCCAGGTGCCTTTGGGCAAGCTGGACTTATCTGAACAAAGGTTTCTCTCCTCTCGTGTTCCCTTTGCGGAAGCTTGCATGCTTACCTCCTGCGGGACCTGGTCTACGCCTCAGTTTAGGATCCAGCCTCGTTGAGTTCAGCACTTCCTTTTCTTATTGGGTGTATTGCAAGGTTCTGGAGTCATCCTGGCTAGTGGTCTGTCTGTTGTTTACTCTTGGAGCTTGACACAGGTTTTACCATACCCGCACGCTTGATTAGTGGGAAGTGTCTACTTTGTTGCAGGTTTTCTGGGGGCTCGTTGGAATCCCTCAATGCGTGCCTCTTCACCCTGCCCTTTCCCATAAAGTGAGTCTTGTGCAGCTGCATGCTCAGGTATCCTATTTATCAGCTGCCTTGGTGGCAGATGACCTTCAGGCCTTTCATACTGGGTCATGAATTTCCTGAGCCTCATCAAGCTTCATTCTGATTGGCTTTCATAGGACGTGGGGGCACTCTGTGAGGTTCCTCTAGCCGGGGTTTCGGTCTCTTTTGCTTCGGCATTGTCTGCCCTTTTGAAGCTATGTGCTCCAATTCTCCAGGAGGCAGTCTTTTTGTTTTTCACTTCTTGTCTTGCATGGCAGCAGGCTGTACTGGCTCTTTCTTTGAACTCAGCATGGGCCCTGGCTCTCCAGTATGTTCTCTGCTGTTTCCTGGTGACATAGTTAATCAGTTTTTGTCGGCTGCCTCTGTGAGTTGCCCTCCTATTCTGATTTGCTATGTTTCCAGGGGGGGGGGGGGGGGGTAAGCCCCTTTCTTCCCAGTGGATTCAGGCCAGGGCTGTACTTCAAAGTGGGTCCTCTGTGGTGCTGGCAGCCGGGTCGGTTATAGTTCCTCCAGCTTCTTTGTTTGATCGGTGCTGTGCTCGCTCTGCTAGGAAGCCTGGCTTTTGGGATTCTTGCTAGCCACTTTGTAGGTTGCCCATTTGAAGGAGTGGTGGTGGGGTGGGGGGGAGGTTTGCTCATTTTGCCTGCTCTTGATTCTGCAATCTGGGGGTGTTCTTGTGGTCTGCAGTTTAGCAGTCCCTATGGCACAGTGGTAAAACACTCGTCTGGTGCTTTGCAAGCGCTTTGGCTTGGGTACGTATCCTGGCTGAGGAGGATCGACCAGGTGCCAATCCTTAACTGTAGCCTCTGTTTATCCAGCAGTGAATGGGTACCTGGTTGTTAAATGATTTGGCGGGTCATATTCTGGGGAAAAATTAGGATTAAGGACCTGCCAGCAATGCTATGCTTGCTAGTGGCTTTACAAGAATGTAAGAACTCTTGTATATATAAATAAATACAAAAACGGATAGAGCTGGGTTGTCCCGCCTCCATTGGGGAGGTTTGGGGCAAGCTGCTGCTCCCAGCATTTGTAAAGACATCTCCAAGTGGATGCTTTTTGGGCATAATCAAAATGACCTCGTCTCTTTGGTGGGTTTCCCTCATGTTTCTGGCCCCGAAACAAGATTGATCGGACCTGTGATACATTCTCAATCTTCGCAGATTGAACTGGTTGTTACCATGCCCCTCCTTTCGGGTGACTGTGTTGTCCCAGGTCCGGTTTGTTCTTGAGCAGGGTGCTTGGATGATTTCCCTGAACCTCCAGGACACACATACTGGCACATCCCTATTCATTCGAGATTCAGGGAATCATTAGGTTACCCATTGAGGGGCAACAGGCTTACAGCTTTCGGGTTCTTCCATTCGCGTTAAGTCTAGCACCTCGCTTATTTATGCACATGCCTCAAATTGTTGTGACCCGTCTTCGATTGTTAGGTCTTCAGATGTTGGCCTACCTCGATGACTGGCTGGTTTGGGCTCCCAGCCAGTCTGCTAGCCAGGAATTTAGTGAGCTTGCAAGATTTTCAGTTCATGTTATCAATATTTCTCCTAGTGTTGTTCTATCCTTGCCTCCATGGAGGGTCTCACTCAAAAGTTTTGCAAGACATTGACCCACATAGCAAAGGCTTCTACCCATCCTACAGTTCTGAAACGCATTTTCCTTGCACACTTTTCTTCACACTCCTGCTTCATTGCCATCTTCACTGACCGTCCTGGACCTTTCTCAGGTCAATTGTGATATGTACTTTCATAGACCCAATGTACCTTCTTGTATATAAATAAGTAAATACATTTATTTACAAGAAGGTACAATGGGTTGGTGAGATTATATAAGATTGGTAATTTTACATTCATGCAAAGCCACTTACATGCATAGCGTTTCGGGCAGGTCCTCAATCTAATATATCAGGCAAGATGAAAAGGTACATTGTAGCAAGGTTTTTATATCAACAAATAACTGCAACATAAGTTGACAGAGGTGATTACACTGGTAAGGATATGTCTTAAGTACTAATATTGAAGAAGTGAGTAGTACAGGGTACAGTTTGAGTTTGAAGCACAAGGCAGGAAACTATGAGGAGGAAATTATGTACTTTTTGCTTTTACTTTTAAACAAGGGAATGGGTTAGACAATTTTTTTTATTCATCAGGGAGTGAGTTCCAAGGACTGGGCCTTTTTATTTGCATTGAGTGTTTGCACAGATTTAGTTTGACTCTGGGAATATCCAAGAGATATTTATCCTGGCAGATATAAGATAGGTGAGTTTTGCTGGGTTCCCAGCCATATTGATGTTGTGTAAAAGGAGTATGCGGTTTCTGCTGCTAAGGAGGCTATCCACACTTGTCCTATTTCCCGCAAAGGCATTCCTTATTCCGACTTCTGTCCATTCATTCATTCCTCAAGCTGTGCTCGTTGGCAGGATCGTTGATATTCTGTTACTGGTAACAAACTGCGTGCTCTTAAGGGTGGCGTGTCTCCATGACTTTTCTTCTACCACCGTAACCGGCAGTAGGAAACACCTCTGGCGAGGTTACATATTGGCCATACACGATTAACTCATAGGCACTTAGTTAACACTTTCCCTGCCTGATCACACATACTGGTATTCTGTCACCGAACCAAAATTCGGAGAGTGCGTGATGATGCTAAACGCCTTCATTAATATACAAATTTGTATAAATTCCATTTATTGTCTGAATTCTATGGGACTTTTTTTTCTTTTAAATGAACACCAACATCTTCTCATTCTCTATATATCCCACATGGCATCTTGACCCCACCGTGTTGGTGCCCACCCACACTATAGGCTCACTGTTCTCATGACCTCGCTCGTGACAGCCCAGCTGTCACGAGAACATGAGAACAGCTCACTGTTCTCATGACCTCGCTCGTGACAGCCCAGCTGTCACGAGAACATGAGAACAGCTCACTGTTATGATCTCCACTTAAATCAAAAAGTTTCCTCATTCCGGTTATTTTATCTCAGGTAGTTGTTGTTACTGGCGTTATAAGCACTGCAAGTTCACTTCAAGATGGATACTTGTCAAGAACACAGCCAATCCATGACGATAGCATTGAAAGAAACATGTGAGGGAAAAGTTATTGAGTGTTCATCGAAAGTATAGAAAAATGTCTTATATGTTCTTATATGCAAATATTCCTTTACAACATTCTGTTGTCAAAAATCTGATACCAAATTGAACAACTTGGCATGAAATTTGAGGTGAGAAAGCTGAAAAAGTAAACATTGGAGTGAGGTTGTGCGCTCATCAAGATGGTGGTATATGACTTTTCAGTGTGCAGGGCAAGAAAGGTGGTGATGCACAGTCCTTCCATGAATGGGATGGAGCACCACTCCTTGTTGTCTATACTGTCCCTCTTACGGTCGTGCATATCCTGCCTGCCGGGAGTCAGTCGGCCGAGCAGACAGCACGCCGGGCTTGTGATCCTGTGGTCCTGGGTTCGATCCCAGGCGCCGGCGAGAAATAATGGGCAGAGTTTCTTTCACCCTATGCCCCTGTTACCTAGCAGTAAAATAGGTACCTGGGTGTTAGTCAGTTGTCACGGGCTGCTTCCTGGGGGTGGAGGCCTGGTCGAGGACCGGGCCGCGGGGACACTAAAAAGCCCCGAAATCATCTCAAGATAACCTCAAGAAGAAGATCCTTGTTGAATGTTCCGAC